AGACTCATCGACTTCCAACAATCAGCCGGTACGGGCAGGCTCTGTAGTGGAGCCGAAGAGTGCCCTGCGGGTTTAACCCGCTGACATGTTTCACATGTCTTGACGTACCGGGCGACCCACTTGTACATGTGGGTCCACCAGAAGGACTGAGAGACCGACAGAAAGGTCTTCTCGCGGCCCAAGTGGCCGCTGGAGGGCGCGTCATGCGCCTCCGCGAGGATGTCGAACTTCAGATCCTCGTCGTTGGGTACGACCACCCGTGGAGGATCAGTGGGCTCCACCCGATAATAGAGGAGGCCCTCCTTTAACTCATATCGGTGGAGCCGTGAGCGCTGTCGCGACGAGAGCCAGTCGGACTTCGCGCTCGTTCCGGCCTTAAGGAACTTAACGATAGGCGCGACAGCCTCATCGTCCCGATACGCCATGCGTATCCGATCATATAGATCCGTTGTCACCCGCGTGATGTGGGCCAACTCATAGTCGGGACGCCTAGAGAGGGCGTCCGCAAGCACGTTGAGCTTGCCCGGCTTGTACTCGACGCGGAAGTTATATTCCGCGAAGAAGGACAGCCACCTCGCCATCCGTTGGGAGAGGTGAGACGAGTTAGTCGCCGTCCTCAAGGACGCGTGGTCTGTGTAGATCACAAAGGGCGTAGAGCCCAGAAGGTGAGCACGGAACTTCACAAGGGCATATTTCATTGCCAGGAGCTCCTTGTCATGGACAGGGTAGTTCCGCTCGGCGGCTTTGAGCTGCCTGGACTGGAATGAGATGACTCGTTCCTGTCCAGCCGTGTCGTCCTGCAGCAATGCACACCCGATGGCGTAATCGGAGGCATCGCAGACGACGCTAAACGGCTTCGTCTCGTCCGGCAGAGCCAGGACAGGGGCCTCTTGGAGACTGGCCTTGATGCTGTCAAAAGCATCCTGGTGCTCTTGCTCCCAGCGCCAGTCGACGTCCTTCTGAAGGAGGCTCGACAAGGGCTTAGCGAAGCCCGCGTACCCAGCGCTGTACTTGTGAAGGTAGTTGGCCAAACCCAACCACTTTCGAAGATCCTTCTGGGATCGGGGCGTCGGCCATGCTGCTATGGCCTTGACCTTGTCTGGGTCAGCCCGAACGCCCACGTTGCTTACGAAGCAACCGAGAACTTTGATCTCTGGTGACGCGAAAACGCACTTGTCGATGTTGGCGTAGAGCTTGTTCGCTCGCATCACGTCCAACACTCGACGGAGGTGTCCTAGATGCACCTCCATGGCCGTCTTGCCTCCCTCGGCACGGCTATGGACGAAAATGTCGTCGAAGTACGTCTGTACGAAGGTACGCAAAGGGCGGAACAATTGCGTCACCAGGCGATTGAACGTCGCCGGGGCGTTAGACAAGCCCTGCGGCATGACGAGCCACTCCCAAAGCATGCCGCTTGGAGTGCTTACCGCGGTGAGCGGGATGTCACTCTCTCGCATCAGGATTTGGTAGTATCCGTCTACCAAATCCAGCGCACTGTACAGTACGCTCCCGGCCATGTTGTTCAACAACACATCCTTTCGTGGGATCGGTGTTTGGGCCGGCACCGTTGCGTTGTTCAGCTTGTTATAAGCGTGAACCAGACGCCACTTTCCGTTCGGCTTACGAACGCAGAAAGTCGGCGTCGAGTGCGGGGATTTCGACTCCCGCACCATGCCTGCCTTCGCTTTCGCGGCGAAGAAGGCATCAATGACCTCGCACTGTTCGCGCATTGCCTCGTGACACAATACTTTGTGCCGGGCACGAGATCAATCTCGTGCCGTACGCCTCGATCCGGTGGGAGTTGGGTCGGTGGGTGTTTATTCACCACGTCCGCATACTCCGTCACCAAAGGATACACCAGATCCTTGGGGTTCTTGAGAATCTCAGAACCCAAGCGCGCCTGACGCTGCTTGTTCATGTCTTCCAGGACGTTCTCGTCCAAGACAGAGGAGGAGTTCAGCTCCTCCTGAGTGGTCTCAGGTCTCATGAGTACCATCTCAGCGATCTCTCCAGCCTTGAGGTTGGCCAGGAAAGACTCAGCCGTCATCTCCTCGAGGTTCAGTATCTCTGCAACCTCTGGCAACGGTTCCAAGTGGACACCAGATGCCTTGACGGGTAAACCCGTCTCGCTATCGAAGATGTGATAACACTCTTCCACCGGCCTTGTCGGAGGAGCCCGGGCCCTGGACTCCGAGTCGCTTGAAGCGACGTCGATCGGAACGAAGTTCGGATCCGACTTGAGGCGGCGGCGGCGTCTTTGCCGACGGCTTCTGTGACGGGGAGCTTTGCTGCCCACGTCTAGGGATGTCGTCGCTACGACATCCGAGGCACTCGTGGCCTCGTGTGGTACTGTTGTACCCACACAGGAAGCGTGTTCAACGCCTTCCTCTTCAGTTAAGGTCTGGGCGACCGCGTGTGGCACTGTGTTACCCACACAGGAAGCGTGTTCAACGCCTTCCTCTTCAGTTAAGGTCTGGGCGACCGCGTGTGGCACTGTGTTACTCACACAGGAAGCGTATCCGACGTCTTCCTCTTCAGTTATGGTCTGGGCGACCGTGAGTGGAACTCTGTTACCCACTCTGAACACGCTGTTCTCAGTGTTCATGACAGCTGCAGCTGTCTGCGGAACTAAGTTACCCGCCTGTGGACCTAAGTTACCCACTTGGCCGGCGCCTCTTCTGGGCGCGGCCACCATCAAAACATCCTCGGAGTCGTCATATACGTCGACGACTCCCAAGCATCTGCCGGATGCTTTGGTACCCTGGCAGCCCTCGCGGGCGCCCCGGGTCCTGACAGAGGTGGGAACATGACTCACCAATGCTCTGTCGGACTGCGCAGGGCGGCTGGCACCGATTGCCTTGCCTCGCCAGTCGATCCAGGGCTCGTGCTTCTCAAGCCAGGGCATGCCCAGGATCATATCATATGGATTCATATCGAGAACAGTGAACTGTTCGAGGCTGTCAAAGTCTTCAAACTTGACAGCCAGATCCACTTGGACGTTGGGGACAGTGACGACCTTCCCGTCGGCCAGTCGCACTGACACCGTCCCGTTGCCCTTGCTTTCTCGCAAAGCTTCGGACAACTTGTTGCTGTTACGAGCAACCGTCTGGCGGCGTGCGAAATTCTTCGACGCCCCAGAGTCAATCAAGATTCTAAAGGGGTGATCGTACCCCCGTACACATCCGTGTACTACGAGCAACCCGCCGCTGCTCTTCGCCGATTCGAGAGTGCGAAGACTCTCAGGGGCTAAGTCCCCGTGGTACGCGCCACCCGCGCACCCATCACGAAGACTTAGTTCTTCCCCAGTAGGGCGCCCCGCCCCTACTGGCTCCCTGCGTTCCCCTGTCCCCGGGATCCTGGCTTCTGCCAGCGACCCTTGAGGACGGGCTTGGGGAAGGACCGTCTGCGGAGTCTTTCCGCGGGACAGTCGCGCTTGAAGTGGCCCATCTTCCCACAGCCGAAGCAGCGGATGTCACGCTGTTCGGCGGACCCGAGTTCCATGGGAACTGGTCCGTTGGGGCTTGTTCGACCGGGAGCCGACAAGGAACTCCCAGGCCACGCTGAGGCCGGCGTACGCGCCTGGCGATGGCTGTATTCTTCTTGAAGAGCCACTTGAATCGCCTCTTCAAGGGTGCTTGCCTGCACCCGGAACAGCTGAGTGCGTGCGGGGCCCACTCGAAGGCCGTCCATGAACACAGTCATCTTGATGTGTTCATTGAGTGGGTTTCCCACTAGGGACGCCGTGAGCTCCCGTATCTCTTGCACATACTCGTGCAGTTCGCGTCTTCCTTGTTTACACGCGAGGAAGCGCGAACGCTGGCGGTACTCGTAGTTCGCCGGGAGGAACGCGGCTCGGAGCTGTTCGCACAGCTGAGCCCAGGATGTGAAACATCCAGGGGATGTCGCTTCCCGAGTGTACACCCAACTCTTAGCACGACCGCTAAGGTTGGAGAGTGCAAAAGCAACACGCAGTTGCTCGGTCGAGATCAGAGCCGCGTCCATCGCGAGCTCTACTTCTCGGACCCAGAAGTGAAGGTTCTCGCCTTCCTTCCCTTCATACGGCTTTACCTTCAGCCGTATTGGCTTCGGGTGAGGCGGGTTTGCTTCCGCCGCCGGAGCCTGCAGGTTCTCCCGCACATGCGCGATGAGGCCCTGCTCGTACGCGTCGAATGCATTGACGCGCTCGAGCTGCTCAGCCGGTGTTGATACCACCAGGCTCTGCAGGGCCTCCATCCCGAAGATGCCTGCCATCTTCCGAACCGACTCGAACTGAGAGTCGTTCATATGGGAGAAGTCGTTCCTATCCATGGCAACGAACTTCGGAGGTTCAGGTAGTCTACCCGCGATGGCGTGGATTGACTACAAGTGCTACCAAGTGTGACGGGGTCACACAGCACCTTGCGCTAGAGGAAGTTATCTTCTGAGAGTATACAAACTCTCAGTGAACGGCAGTTCACAGGTCCCCTCTTTAATTAAAGAGAGCGAAGTGACCTAAATAAGGTAGATTGTAAACTGAGTATATTTATAGGTAGGTTAAGTTTGAGGTTAATACAAACTATCAGTTACCTATAGAAATGCAATGTCATTAAACCAATGGTTGGTTTTGAATGACCTTGGTACCTTGTACCAAATATCCCGGAGTATGACATGTCATACTCCTGAAGTGTGAAGTGTCACACTTCATGTAACCAGGGTACACTTAGTGCTACGTACCCCGTTACATTGGTGTACCCACTTCGGGGTGCTTGTCGACGAACGGTACAACACCGGCACCCATAGAGACCCTCAATAGTTAGCAGTAAATTAAGGTATTCATCCACAAGATTAGGTAAATTATTTATGGTCAGCCTTAAGGTCCGAAAATAAATAATTTTAGGGTCGTTATTGTATTGTACGGGCAATCAATGTATTTTTCGGCATCCCTATACCGGTAGTAGCATTTTTGCCCTTTACCCTTACATTTGCCGGTACGGACCCTATTACTACAGTTGTACATGTAGTGGCATCAAAACTCGTGTATTACTATCAGGTTAGAACGTGTGGTACTCCTCCACGAACGTAGCTAGTTGAGTAGCTAGAGCCTTGCGGAACGGAGAGCTCGACGAGTTGAGTGCCGCGTGCAGCGCCTTGCCACTTTCCGATTGATAACGGGAAGGCACAACTGCCTCCACGTCGTAGTCACCACCACAGTCCGAGCTCAAGTCGAGGAACTTTAGCTCACCAGCCACTGATGTGTCACCCTGCTTCAGTTTGCACGCCAACGCGAACGAGAAGTCGAAGATATAGCGCTTGGCGCCACGCACCACCGCAATTGACGCATCGCCCTCGAGGTCCGACACTTCCAGCGAGGTGACAACGCCTTCGCCAGTGCCCAGTGGTGCTACGACTCCCGACACAATCTTCTCCAACTTGCTCTTAGCCCACGTCGTCATGTCCTTCTCCTCGAACGTGTTGCCCTGGTTCCATGCCGATCCGCCGTCCACGCTCTTAATCTGGATCTTGTTAGGATCCTCCACCTTCTTAGGGGCGATGTCACCAATGAGCTGTTTGGCCTCGTCCGTGAGTTCGTTGTTGAAGAACGTCGTAACACGTCCGTCCGCCAGCTTCTTGTAGCCGCGGACATGGCCAACAATTTCAGCGTCCTCATCTATAACCGTAGTGCTGGCGACGGAAGCATCCAGCTTGGGCGCTGAAGCCGTGGAAGTCTGTGGCACTTCCACGCGAGTCACCACTTTCTTGGGTGCCGGGGCTGCTGGCGCTTCCTTTTCTTTCTTAGCCATTCCCTCCACCTTCGTGTACAGCGTAGTCACCGACTTGTTAGCGGGCTCCAGTGCCTTGGCTTCGTCTAATACGGCCAGTGCCTCCTTGAGTCGGTTGAGTTTGACAAGCGCCTGCGCCTTGCGGAAGAATCCCTTCGCGTATGTGGCGTCCAGTGCGACGCAGGCGTCGGCATCCTCCAGTGCCTGCGCGGACTTTCCCATAAAGCAGCGCGCTGCTGAGCGGTTTGCGTAGACTATGTGCTGGTTCTGCAGTGGGTTGCTCTCATTCACGGCGATAGCGCGGGTGTACAGCACTTCGGCCTCTTCCAGCGACTTCTGTTGGAAAGCGGCATTGCCTCGGCGCTTGAGCTCCGCTACGAGGTTCTCAAGCTCGGTGGGATTCGTAGGGACGGGACCGTGTAGCACGTCCGAGTGACGCGAGAATGGAAGCGCGTTGTCTCCTCCGAACATCGTCTTGACCTTTGTCTTCCGATGGAATTGTGACGGCTGGTATAATAGATTTACGAGGCAGGACAAAGTCTATTCCAGAATTTTCGAAACTCAACAAGTGACAGGGCAACTTTTGCACATACCAAAAAATGCTATCAAAAAAAGTGACTCTAAAATGTTTAGGTCATTCTTCTGGCAACTGACATGGTCTCAGTAGACTATTATCGCGTGCTCAACGTCGCCAGGTTTGTGACCCCCCCATGCCCCCCTGTTGCCTTCCTCCAGCTGTGACTCACCGTGTATCTCAGAACTTCATCGTTTAAGGAGATCAAGACTGCCTACTTCGGACTGGGTACGTCCTCCTCGAGCACTTCACTCGCACTATCAGCTGATGGTCCTCTGTGATCTATTGCAGCAAAGTCTCTGCATCCAGATGTGACCGGCAACGACGAGTCCAAGGCAGAGCGCTTCAAGCATGTGAGCGAGGCCCATTCCGTACTATCAGACCCTCAGAAACGGCGTGAATACGACGCATCCCGTCCGGCTGAAAGCTTCCGCTCCTACGACACATCGGGGACGACTCAGCATCCCTACGTTGCAACGGGAGGCGCACCCGACCTCCGAGCGCGTCCGCTGTATGGCATTAACGAAGAAATCTGGCTCGCTTACCACTACGGACCAGAGGCGGCTCGACGCAACGCAATGCCGCCGCGCTATTATGGCATGGACGTGGTGGAGGAGAAACTGGAGCAGCAACGTGAACGCATCCGACGTCGTCAGCGACACTTCAAACTTAATCGCACGTCCGGGTACTTCATGCGACGAGCAGCTCGCCTGAAGAAACACGAGGAAGAGCAGGCTGAGGCCGAGGCCACACGTGAACGGGAGAAAGGCAAACCCAACGATGGTTGTGCCATCAGTTGAAATGCCATCGCATCAGCCAACTACTTAGAGATAAAGAGCGACACGTGTGCAGAATAACTATCTATTGAAACTTGAGCTACCAAAAGTCTAAGTTGAACAATGCCTGAGTCCGAGTGGTAATGCGTGAAGACCGAGCGCATACGAGTACAATCTGGCGTCGATGGCATCCTTCTCACGAAGTTTGCGAGCCTCGAGCCAGTGTGCGAGACCTTCTAGTGGCGCGTGTACGACGTGAATGATCTCATCCGGCTCTAGTTGCTGCTTCAGCGGAGGATGCTGGTCTTCATCGCGTACCTCCACCAATAAGAGTCTGCATTTGCCATTCGTGACGCCTTGGTCGTTCACCATCGGCGGCCCCATGTGTAGCACACGCGAGCCGACGTAGCCCGTCTCCTCTTTAAGCTCTCGCATGGCTGCCACTTCCGGTGCTTCCTGTGCGTCAATAAGCCCAGCTGGAAGCTCCAATACCCACTGACCCACTGGTGGACGGAACTGGCGGATCAACACAACGCGAGTCGGAGCTCCTTGCTTGGTGAGGAACGGGAATACCACCACGGCGTCACACTTCTCCTTTGTGTCCTGTTCCTGGGATTCCACCGACTCTATAGAACCTGCAACAGCCTCAGAAAAAGTCTTTGGATATGTCGTAGTTCGCTCAAGCCCCGTCCAGTACCGCTCGGAGCCATTCGCATCCAGAAACAAGATGCGCTTGAGGCGGATCCACGGGTTCTCAAACAAAGTTTGCTCTGAGACGACCCGCGGGAGATTTGTATCGTCGCGTCCAGAAGAGAAATAGCTCGCAAGTAGCACCGGTGCCGCAGCACGAGGTGGTGTAAAGCTTGAATGTGCATTGGGAGCACGGAAGGCTGCAGAACTACGGCGCAAAGTGCGGCGACCAAGCAGCAGCATGTTCTCCATGACGCTGGTCAACTGACTTGTGGTCCGCACACCAAATTTTTGGATTAGGGTCAGATTTAGATTGAGTCTGTGGACCAGATTCGGAAGTGATCTCTCAAAGGCAAAGCATTTTAGAATCGCGTTTGGAATGTACTTCTGAATGCCAGACAAACATTTTCTGAATAAGCAAATGACAAAAAGCGTGGTGATGTCAAAAATGCAAAAGGTACGTGGCTTGAATACTCCTTCGGAGTTTACCAATACTGCGCCATTCGCGCCTCATGGCTAATGCCATATGGGCAGCGCATAACGTACTGTATCAGCAGAATACTCATTATCCTGGACTTTATGGACACCTTTCGACCAACTGCCGGATGCCCGCTTCTGATTTGTGTCCAAATTTTAAATGGGCGCCTCAGCCAGTTATTTTCCAAATTTCGTGGCAGCCCTGAAGCGACTAAAGCGAATAGGACGATGAGCACTCCATCTGACGCTGCCCCGCCCACCAGCGCCGCCGCCCCCATCAGCAAGAACGAGCTTAAGCGTCGTCTTAAGGCTGAAAAGGCGGCCAAGGCCAAGGCTGAGAAGGCTGCCAAGAAGGCTGCCGAGGCCGCATCCAAGCCCAAGAAGGCTGCTGCTACCGACGATGAGGAGCTAGACCCCACCGCCTACTTTGCCAACCGCGAGAAGACTCTTGTAGAGCTGGAGAAGCAGGGAATTAACCCGTACCCTCACAAGTTCCACGTGTCCACGTCGCTGCCCGAGTTCCACGTCCAGTTCAGCGACTCCGAGCCCGGCAGCCACCTCTCGGATGTGATCGTGTCTGTGGCTGGCCGTCTGCACAGTAAGCGCGCATCAGGCTCCAAGCTCGTCTTCTACGACCTGCGTGCGGATGGCAAGAAGCTGCAGATCATGTCGGATGTGGGTACGTACGAGAGTCCTGAGGCTTTTGCCCAGATCCACAGCATCCTCCGACGTGGTGACATTGTGGGCGTCAAGGGCCACCCGGGCAAGTCCAAGAAGGGTGAGCTGTCTATCTTCCCTCAGCAACTGGTGCTGCTCTCTCCGTGCATGCACATGTTGCCCAAGAGCCACGCTGGTCTGACACTGCAGCAAGACACTCGCTACCGCCAGCGCTACCTGGATCTGATCATGAACGACGACAGCCGTGGTGTGTTCCAGACTCGCGCCAAGATCATCAATTTTATTCGTCGTTTTCTAGATGAAAAGAACTTTCTAGAAGTCGAGACCCCCATGATGAACATGATCGTGGGTGGAGCGACGGCCAAACCTTTCGTGACGTACCACAACGATCTGCACATGAACCTGTTCATGCGTGTGGCCCCCGAACTTTACCTCAAGCAGCTGGTGATCGGCGGACTCGACCGCGTCTACGAGATCGGACGTCAGTTCCGTAACGAGGGTATCGATCTGACGCACAACCCCGAGTTCACTAGCTGCGAGTTCTACATGGCCTATGCCGACTACAACGACCTCATGACAATGACGGAGAAGCTCTTCTCGGAGATGGTCAAGGAGATTACGGGTGGGTACACCATTACGATCCAGAAGGAGCCTGGTGAGGAAGCCGTGACGATCGACTTTACGCCGCCGTTCAAGCGTGTGAGTATGGTGTCGGCAGTGGAGGAGGCTACAGGTGTCAAGGTCCCCATTGATGAGCCGGAGAAATGTGTAGCTATCCTGGAGGAACTCGTGACCAAGTACGAACTCGAGTGCGCTCCGCCTCGCTCCATCGCGCGCCTGCTTGACAAGCTGGTGGGTCACTTTATCGAGGACAACAAGGCCTACTGGACCAAGCCTTTCTTCATCATGGACCAGCCTGTGTACAACTCACCTCTGGCCAAGTATCACCGCGAGAAGCCTGCACTTACCGAGCGTTTCGAGCTGTTCCTGGCTGGCGCGGAGATCTGCAATGCCTACACAGAACTCAACAACCCCAAGGTGCAGCGCGAGCGCTTCATCGAGCAGATGGAGCAGGCTGCCGCTGGTGACGACGAGGCCCAGCCGCACGACGAGTCCTTCTGTACTGCTATGGAGTACGGTCTGCCGCCCACTGCCGGCTGGGGCTGTGGTGTCGACCGTCTCACCATGTTCCTGTCCAACCGCTTCAATATCAAGGAAGTGCTGCTCTTCCCTGCCATGAAGCCGGACGAGCAGGCTGCCCCGGCCCCGTCGGCTGGCGGTTCGGCTTCACTCATCTCGGCCACAGGCTCGGTGGCTCTGGATGTGCTGGAGAAGCGTTTGGCCGGCTCCACGTTCGTGAACGGCTCGTCCCCGTCGAAGGACGACACAGCCGTGTTTGAACGTGTCAAGGTGGTGGGCAAGGACATCCTCAAGAAATACCCGAACGTTGAGAAGTGGCTGGACTTCGTGACGGCGTTCCCGAACGAGCTGCGTGCCAAGTGGTAAAAGGACGGTCTTCATGGTTAGAGAGAGGCTGTTCCCGTGTCAACGACGTCATGGGATTGGGTTTCCTTATCGGCAATTCATGTTACTTGAACACATATCGACGTAGCTCTTTCCTTGTTTCTCTATCCATCAGGACTCTTGAGCCTGTTGTGCTTCAGCGGTTCTCCACGACAACAGGCACAGCGACCTTGGTCTGCACGTCCAGATAAGTGGGGCACACCACACGCACCTCGAGCTCGTACTTGCCTGCAAACAAACACGAGAAGTCAGCGAATGACATGGTCGCTCGTATGTGTCGACGTACCAGGTGCCTCGGGGCCTAAGAATCCCGTCTTCTGTTTGACATGCTGCGATAGATCCAGGCACTGTACAGTGTATCGCAGCAAAACACCGTAAGAAAAAGAGCAATACAAGCACAAAACGACAGACGCTTGCTTGGGGGGGGGGGGTTACCTTCCACGCCGTATACAGACGACCAGTTGCCTTGTCCACGACGAGGAACCACACGTGCTCTTTGCGGAACGGACTCTTCGGATCGACGTGATCGTAGACTGTGGCAGCCAGAGATGCCTTCTCAGCTACTTCCAGATGCTGACGTTGCAGTGTTGTCTGAAGAGTGATCCAGTCTCCTGGTTGAACGTTGGGCTCGTCCAGAACAGCCAACGTCGTGCCTTCCAAGTGTAGCTTCGGCAGTCGACCTTCAGCAGCTGCAATACGCTCGTTCTGGTCACGTAGAGCTACCTCATCAGGCACAAAGCTTCCCTGGGCAATACTAGACAGCAGAGACAGCGCACGCAGTAGCGGCATGGCAGGGTACGCGCGCTTCACCAACTGCTCAGCAGCCATCGTAGCGAAAATATCGACAAGGAACGGGAGCTCCAGCAGCACCTTCTGGAACCTCTTATCCACCCACAATGGACGCGACACACCTCGAAGCTTGTCTCGACGCAGATACTGATACAGCGCCAGCATGTTCTCGCGAGCCACAGGGTTCAGGTGCTTGCGAATGCGGCTTATGACCTCACCCGGCAGAGCTTTGGCTGCCTCCATCTTCTTCGCGAGCTTGTCGTGCGTCTTGGCACGGAGCTGAGCTTCATTCTGTGCGTCATCCAAGATGCCAGCGGCGGCCCCCGCCATTTCGTCACAGGACAAGAGCAGCTCCACCACGTCGTGGACACTCATTTTCTCCGTCAAGGCCTCAATAAAGCTCGCGTGTGTGGCACGCGAGACCTGTGTGCGATCACTGCGGCCTGACCTCTTCTGTAGCCAGTATACAAGATATGCGAGGCCTGCAAAGATCCCACCAAAGTACAAGAGCACGAACACAGACCCGGTGCTGCCGCTGGTGCCGCTGAACATGGAGGCGAAGGCCACGTCCATGAGCATAGACTGGCGACCATCCGGATGACCGTATTTGCGGTAGTTTTCCATGCTCTGAGGGTCGGTGAGGGCCTCGTACGCCTTGGTGACGCGTGCGAATTGGGCTGCAGCCCGCGGGTTGTGGAGGTTTTTGTCTGGGTGCAGCTGCCGCCCCAATGCACGGAAGGCTTTCTTGATCTGACGGGTCGAGGTAGAGTCACTCACACCCAATATCTCGTATGGGTCGAACACGCCCGACGTGTCCACGCTCTGCAGGGCAGAGAGGCAACGCCATAACAGCCCGCACGCCACAGCCAACAGCGCCAAATGCAGGGCGAATCCACGCGAACGCAGCTTCTTGGGTGTCCTCACAGCATGGCAAATCGTAAAGATAGAGGCGGGCACCACGTACAGCGCCAACATCACGCCCGCGAACGCGTAGAAGGCGCCATCAGACTCGGACAGCAACTCCGCTGCCATTGCTCTTGAGAAATGGCCACGTTTGATACGTCACTCTATCGAGGATGCTGACTTCGATTTTATGACTACAAATATGCTGATGTTGGCCGACCGATCAGAAGTCTGTACAAACAGCCCTAGGAACTGCATGAAAATGCTTGTAGTATTTTAATATTTTTAATAAATATTGATGTGAGCGCAACAGGACTCAGGGGCCGACAGTAATTTTGTTGGAGTAACTTGTTGCGTCCTATTTGAAGATGCGCTGCCACGCATTCAGTTTTCAGTCGCTTGACTCAGCAGCGCCACGTTTAGACGCGTTGTCTCACTTTTAGTGTCCGGAATAGATTCGAGCATAAATGCTTCCACAGGATTCATCGTCGAAGTCAGCTAATAAGAACAACACGAAACGTAGAGGTCGACGAACCGCATCCCAGTCACAAATAGCCTCCGCTGTGGCTTTCTATGGCGCTGGTAACGTGTTTGTCGACTTTTTGCTGACCCGCCCACAGGAAAAGGCTTTCCAAAACCGAAGACTTGCCAGCGGCATTAATAGCGTTTTACAATTGCAGGAGAACCTCTAAGGGGTTAGAGACTTCATTCTTCGTTCTTCCTATTCGAGTTCGCTGTTGTACTGCAGTTCCACGTGAAAGCATGTCAACCCCGCTAAAAGCTCTGATCCAAGAGCGGTTGCGAGCCAAGATGGTTTGTCGAGGAGCCGAGTATGACTTGGATGATTTCTATGAGTGTAATTCAGCATCTGTGGATGTCCCAACGTACGATATCAATAGCCGTGGAGACGAAGACCACAGGATGAGAAACATGGGATCCCGCAAATCTACATCTCGCCGTAGTAGCGCACCGCAAGATAATTGCGCCGTTCAACTTCACACACACATCGACCCATCAGCCTACCTAGTCCCATCACAGAAGGCACCTTCAACCTCTTACGGCTCCAGCCAAGGTGACCACAACCGGCATCGCTATTCTCGCTACCATCGCGAGCAGTATCGTGATGCGAGTGTTTATGACCATTATCAACAGCACCACCAAAGAGACCAACGCCAACGACAGAATAATCACCATCGTATCCGTGAGTTGCCACCGCGCCATGAACACCCACCTCGACGCGTTAGTAGACAGCAACGTCAGAATTGTGCTTCTATTTCGCCCTGGCATCGCTCCGAGCATGGGTCACCGCGGAGCAAATCTAGTGCAATGACTAGAAGCACCTTTCGTGCCGAATCTAGCCCAGTAGACTCTCCGTCATTGCACACACATCGGAAGCACAGCTATGATTATAACGATCAAGATAACTTTAGTCGTCACGGCCGTGACATCAATAGCTCTCCACGGATCGCAACCTCCGCCAGTTCAAGCCATCTTATTTACAACCCGGAATATCACCAACGTCAGCAGAAGTCTCGTAATCAAGACTACGACAATCAATCCGCTTGTGAAGTGAGAGAACCCACTTCGACATATCACCACGATCACTTTAAAACACCTGAAAAGCCCGTGCGACGTTCTCCGATGGCCCATAAGCATCCCATCCAGAGTGACAACGCTAACTTCGCAGATTGCCGTCCTTCGGTTGTGTCCCCGCGGAAGTTGCAGTCAGAGGAATTCACTCCTCCAGACGTCACAAAAGAACCGGGACGACACTCAACGCCCCAACTAGATATGGAAATCATTGATCCACCTGCGAAGGCCATCAGTCGAACCCGTGGCTGGGACGGAATCATGTCACCTGAGAGTCGCCTGGCTGCGAAGGCGTTTGTGGAAAAACGGCAGCGCCGATCCGAGAAAAGCACTCCAAGGACGATGGCCACGCAGCGGTGGCTCGAAGTCATCGATGCCCGAGCCAGCCGGCGTAAAGATGGTGTGTAGTGCAAGTCTTGTAGCGTTATCAGGTCTCAAGTCTAAACGACAATATATTCGGTTGTTGAAGTTTCTTGCGACGAAAACTTACGCCCAAGTTTCTGTACCACCATTTTCTGGAAGAATCGGCTGTGAGCGATGAAATCGTATGGATCCAAGCTACCGCTGCAGCCTCTGGCACCAGCGTCGTTCTTCCTTCGTGGGGCGGGCTTCCTCGTAGCCACCGCATTTGTCGTGAGTATGGTCTTCATGGTGGCGGTCATGCAGTCCGTGGGAGTGGACGGGATTGCGTCGAATCAGCTCCAAAACGACGGTGCATCGTTCCCTGCGCTTCGCCTCGCAGCAGACACCGCGTTAGTCCAAGCGCGCTTTTTGCATAACATACCGCTGAGTGTCGATGCAGAGGCAAGAGGTAATGTGCGGGTGTCTATTGCCTTTAACCAGGACCACCCTGTCACTCACGGGCAGTTTGTGCCGATGAATGAGGTATCAAATATTTTGCTTTCCGTGCAATTTAAAATATGCCGTCCAAAGACTCACGATGATACTTGAGCTGTTAGGCAAAAAATGCTCCGAGTGTCTCCATTGAGGGGGGCGTAACCGGCAGTGCCGACCGCTACACATACGTGCTCATCGACATTGATGCTCCGGACCCGAAGGCACCAACGCACGCGCCATTCCTGCACTACATTGTGGCGGGCTTAGCTGCAAATGGGCAAAGCACTTCGCAACAAGACACAGTAGAGGTCGTTTCTTACTATCCAGTGACCCCTCCAATTGGAGAACACCGCTACGTGTCACTGCTGTTCCGCCAACAAGAGAGTGATCCCAGTGCTCCAGATGCAGATCTCACAGCTAAACGCGCCAACTTTGACGTGGATGAGTTCACAAAGAAGCACAAATTGGATCTAGTTGACAAGAGCTATTTCCATTCTCGTCCAGCCGCCCAAGATAACTGAAAGCAACGTGAAGGTACGTAAGTGTCGGGTGAAATCCTCGCTCGTTCTTCTTACATATGACAAGGTCGCTCGAGGATAGCAAAATATTGATATTACGAATTCTAGTGACATTCATCCAGTATGGAGTTGTTGTACCTGCTGCCTCTGCATTTCTCGTATAAGTTGTTGATGCTCGATCGGTAAGTGTTGCAGCTGGTCAGGTGTAGCTTTGACGAGTTTGTCGAATCGCTTAGCAAACTGAACAAGCTCGCGTTGAGCTCTGGGCAACTTGAGTAGTTGGCTTTCGGGTAGCCGCCGCAGATTCTGTAGCATTTCCTTCTGTGGAGGTGTAGCCTTTTGCAGCGACTTTACAGGGGGTAGGCTGTCAAATGGAGTTGCTGGGATATCAATTCTATTGCTGCTGTTGTTGCTGCGGTTGTTGCTCTTCAAATTGTCGGCGTTTCGACGAGAGCAAAGATGATGCTCGAGTTGTTGAAGTTTTAGGGACACCTTCTTGCGGACTAGCAGTACAAACGGTGTTCCGGGTAGTTTGCTCTGTATCCAGCAAGTTCCAATGTGTAAGAAATCATCAAAGCATTTCAGGCCTGGATCTTACTTACCAAACGTAAGTGGACGTATTTTTCCGAGAGCATACGAAGCAACGATTCGTCTTCCTCCGTCGAGCCTGTGCTCGTCACCATTAACCGGTCATATTCGCTGGAAACTTCACGTAAAATAGTTTTTGCCGCAACGTCGGGATCCTCGCGAGTGTACCGATTGGTAACGTTATCGGAAGGCGAAGGTATCGCTGGTGGCGGTGGGATGATCAAACCTGCTGCGGCGATTGCGGGCCCCACTCTCCTCTCCGTTGCTGCTATTGACGACCTAAAGCTTGACGACTTTGAACTTACCAGTCGATGAAGACGTGCATCCAATGCATCACAACTCTTTGACTCGCCAAGTCGAGTTGAGTGGAGTTGAACCATGCTTGTTGATCGTAGCAATGGTACATTTCTGGAAGTCGATTGATGTTGCCGTGAGCTGTAGATGGTCTCAAATGTTTCATCAAGAATACCAAGGGCGGACTGCGGATTGATATTATGCTGCGTGTTGTTGTCGCTAGGACCATCCTCATACTGGCTTAGGCCCGCTGCAATATCAAATAGACTTCCCATGATACAGACAGGAATGATCAAGACATGCGCCTAAGTCAAAGTCCTGTTCGAGATCCCCCCCCCTCCCTTTAAAAAATCTATTCTCGTCAATTCTTCGTCAAAGATACAAATACGACTGGGGCGCATTCTGGGGGCCGTCTCGTAGACCAATTCACTCAGCCCACAATCACCAACCGAGTTACATCAAACCTGACTGCGCCATGTCGACGCTCACGTCCGCACAACTACACGTCAAACGTAGCTCCACACGCCTCCACGCACCACCTGGTGGTGCCTCCAGTCTCTCCTTTGGTTGGGACTTAGCAGTCTGCCGTTATATCTGGATGCTAAAGGGATTAAACTAACTTGATCTTCCACCTTTTGTAGGCTGCGGGGGCCTTGGCACTGCTGAGCCAGCAGAACAAGACCCTGGTAAGGATGACCCTGTGTACTCCCGCCCGAAGAGCAATAATCGGTACACGCCCCCGACAACCAGCTTCAGCGATAACAACAACAATGCACCTGGAGGCTACCCTGGCTACTCGTCAACGCAATCTGAGCCGCTCTCGTACAACAACTTCGCCCCGTTACAGCAATCGTACCAACAGCAGCCTCAGCCATACCAGTATCAAGCTCCTTACCACCCCACCACCCAAAACAATTACAACTACGGCAACGACAAATTCCCTGACCCGATCCACCTTAACAACAACGGGTTCCTAGGTGGCCGTCCTCCGTCCTCCACGCCCAGTTCTCGTTCGAGTACTAGATCCAGTTCCAGCTCGAGATCCTGGGGCTCTCAACCTCCTCTCACATCCTCGAAGCGGGACCAAAACTGGGAGAAAAAACGACGACAATGGCTGGCGCGGCACCACAGCAACAATGGCAGCAACTATGGTGACCGGGTATCTAATTCCTCCTCCGCTTGGAGTAGCGGCCCTGCTGGAGGAGTGCTCAACGACAGCATTAATCCTCCTTCTCCATTATCTAAGTTCATACACCAGCAGGCAGAGCAGCAACAGCAGCATCAATTACCACAAACGCCTGGCGTTGACAACCAGAGGCTTGGGACAGCCAGCAGCTACATGAACCACCAGCCGAATCCAACGCCAGTACAAATTCGGGGAATGGGCTACCCGCGAGATGGTGCATCATTGTCTCGTGCTGGACTCTCCACGGCATCCTCGACGCTATCGATAACGTCCAGCCGCAGACAGCCACCGGGAGGCCAATGCCAGTGGTCGCTGGGATGAAAGCTACACCGGGTAGCCTACACGTTGTTTGAAGACCTAGGAAGATCAGAGTTTCTCAAGAGCGACTACGTCGTCATAAACAACATGTAATGAATGTACTTTCGACATGATCAGCCCTCTCCAATTGTGGGGAATCGGCCAGAATCCGGCACGCCGCCCCACATCTTAATTTCGTATGGAATCTTTTAGGGACGCTTCATGTTCGGGCACTTTCGTGTTTAATGTCTTCCGGAGTCGGATCTCACAAAAGTTTGCGCTCTGTTCACGATGCCAAAAGTTCAAAAGAGTTAAGAGTAAGGGAAATTGGCATTGTCAATAACATAATTTCCAAAAATAACAATAAAGTATTTATTTTGTCTAGGACGCACCGCTCATATTGGAGAATTGCATAAATTTAGGCTCTGTTTGGTTCCACAAACAAATTGCAATAATCAAAGCTCGATTGTAATCTCAGCAAAAATAGAATCATATTCGTAATTGAAGATTCAAACATGCACCGCAATCGCAAGTTCTGCAAATGACAATTGCCGATCAGAATATTCGAGTAAATCAGTTGTGTCCAAACGCGGGTTGCCTGATTGTAATAATCAACTGAAATGCAATTTCGTAATATTCTACTCTAAGCAGAATTACCTCACCAGAAATCAAAGGAAACCTTTGAACTTGAGTCACGGCGCGAGGTGTAGCGACGGCAAAAAACATTGAACTGACAAACAACAAAGCGCCCCATCTTCCGTACGTAACTACCTATCCATATGCAACCTGTACAGCCCATGTCACTTACTGTGGTCCTCATAACGATTCGTACTTCATTCGCAGATACAATGTCAGCCCGTTCTTCTAGCGCTGCCGCACGTGCTTCTTGGGATTTAGACATGGACGTTTTCCTGGTTGAAGCCATGACGGACCAAGCAAAAACTGGAAAACGTGCGGACTCTGGGTTCAAGAAAGAAGCATGGGTGGCAGTACATGAGTCGATGAACGAACGATTCAACAAAGAGCTCACAATTCAGCAAATTAAGACCCGCGTCCAAACGGTAATACGTTCTTCAGAATTTACGGTGTTCATATGTGATCTTAACCTTGTGATGACCACAGCTAAAGTCCAAGTATACCACAATTTCTCACATGTTGCGAGTTTCGGGCTTTGGCTGGGATACCAACCACAATGTTGTACTCGTGCACGACGACGTATGGGATCGTTACGTCTCGGTAAGGATTCTAAACTGCATTCTGTGCTAATTGGACATCTTACCTGAACTTAAGGTGTAAGGAACACCCCAAAGCCATCGACTACCGAAAAAAAGCCGTCCCTTACTACGAAGACCTCGTAGATCTCTTTGAAGGGACATACGCTACTGGAGAGCACGCACTCAGTCTGACGAGCCAATCGATTTTGACACAGATACAAGCGTTCCTGAGGTACGAGGAGAATTAACAGCAAATACAGGGGATTCAAATTCAGCTCCTGCTCCTCCGACGCTTCCAAACGAGGCAACAGCCACATCAGCTACGTCAACAGATCGATGAGACCTGAGGGGCGGCAACAAGAACGATTCCCAGCAGAAAGGAAGTCGTAAACGCAACCGTGATAGCGGTGGCGCTTTGATTGCTGATGCTATCAACGAAGTTGCGACCGAAATGCGGAATCGCACTGCTCGAATGAAAACATTGACCCCCTCGCAGAAGGCTATAAAAGTCCTCCAGAAGACTTATGCTGAGCGCTTCTCTGCGTTCGAAATGGCACAAGCATTTGATGTCATGCTGGACGAAAACAAGGCTAGGCTCTTTGTGGTGATGGAAGAAGGAGAGGTTCGCGATATTTGGCTCGCAAACCAGGTGAGTTCGAGCGATTAAAGACATTGAGTTGTCTACGGAAGGTGGTACGTTCCAAACGTTTGCATTACTTAAATGAGTTTACGTCAAGTCCGACGCATAGTTCGTGTAGGAGTCCCACATCGCTTTTGCAATTCTATCCCGAAATGAATTTGCCTCTTTCGTTTTTGCACGCCTTTGCTGAGCTGTTGTTCCAGCGTTGGTGTCCGTAATTCCACTGCTAGTAGAGTTGTCCTGCAAGTCATCAGGCCCGTATACTTCACCTTCAGGATCGTCATTTGGATCATTTTGAATGCGAATAAAGTTGTGTAGAACACAGCAGGCCAACACGATTTCAGCTTGCGTTGTGATGCTAAACTCAGGTGGCGTTGTCAATACCGGAAACCGTCGCTTTACCACACCAAAAGCGCGTTCGATGACGTTGCGAGCTTGTGCATGACGCAAATTGTAATACTCCTTATAATTCTGTGGTCTAAGAAACCAAAAGTTAGTTTCAACAGTGATATTTGAACTCTTAACATCTCATGTCGTACCGTTCGTTTGCTTGACCCCACTCACGAAGGTGATAACGTACACCCCGGTATGGTGTAAGAACCTCCGTTGTTAGGCCATACCCTGCATCACCCAAGTCAAACAATCCGGAAGGAGTGGCGAATCCTTTTCGACGCGCATCTTCCAGTACCGTAGAGTCAGCAGCAGAGCCTGCATGTTGTGAAAACAATACAAAATAATAAGAGTTGACAGAACACATAGTAGCATGGTACAAATTTACCTTCCCATCCGGCTAAGACAAAAGCAAACTGCATGTCAAATGTGCAAGCTGCAAACACGTTCTGGCTTAAACGCCCTGTTTGATCACGAAAAGGTTTTGCATCTTTTTCTGGAACATAGGCAGGAATATGTGTACCGTCAAACGCAAGGCGACACTTGTCGAACTGCGACGCATACTTCGGATTTTTTGCCAATTCATTAGACGGTGTCTTGGGCTGTACGATGTACTTCTTTGCGAGAGAACACACGACCTTCAGAGCACTGTGGAAGTGCCTGTGATTAATTTACATCGTCAATTTCATGCTTGCCACACATCACATAATAGAACTACCTGTGCACAGTTTCCCCACTGTGCTGGAAGCGTTCCATTAGGTCGCAGGTTGGACGCGTTCTTCGAAAGACAGTAGAGAAACATCGCCACGCTCTCTTTCACCTCAACACGCACCCACGGAGAGGCAGGTACAGCTTCTTCCACTTCAGTACATAAGCGCTCAAACACTTCCTTGGTTACTCGAAAGTTTCTAAAGATGCGCAAAGGGTGACCCTCCTCTAGCTCGGCGACCCAGCCGGCGCCGGTCAGTGAAGACGTGTGGCAATCTTCCTTGCAGTAATATGTGGCGCCGTAGTAGGCGGCAGTTAGCGCGAGCACTTGTGCAGTCGGTTCCAGCTCGTCGTCGCTCTGTTCCTCTTCGATCTGTTCTTCGCGCTCGTTCATTGTTTTACTTGCGTCAAATCAGCTGTGAAGGGGCTGCATAGAATATCTTTTTTTTGTGTTTGGATGCACAAACACAATAAATTCGGCGATTGTGATCACTGAAGTTTCTGAAAGCTAGCTCGGGGTGCCAAACACGCCAAAACACCAGTAATGGATTGCAATCCTAGGATACCATTTTAAGTGAAATTGTAATTTATTCCAGACCCGGATCCAAACGGAGCCTTATGGAAACACACTACTTACACTATTTTTTATTTCAGGAATCGCCTCGATAAGATGTCTGGGCGTGGGCCACTTGAAGATTGGTTGCTTTACTTGCTAAGAATAAGCGACAACAAGCAAGTTTTCTACAATTTCATTGAATATCAACTCAATTTTGTTTGGATTTGAGCTCTCCGTGTGCCAAATCGGAAAAGGAAGATGAGAAGCCGTGACTTTTGAAAAGGTTAATTATGGAGGGCTTGACTCTTCATAAATAGAAATCCGTAATGGCATAATTTATCTCGGCTGATGAAACAGTACCATTATTTATTCTGCCACCGATATACACTTCATCGGATAATTTATTGCGGAGTTTTATTCTCATTATAAAAATGCCATATTTTGGCTGACCGAGAATATAAATACTTTTCTTCCAGCATCCTCATGACAAATGAAGCTGTGATTGATAGCGCACCAGCTCGAAATTATTCAAAACTTAGTGAAAAAAGAGGCTTATAAAATGTCCCGACTGAAACGTGGATTGTTAGCTCATGAACATCATCATTATCAAGAGCGATGAAACGGCAGCATCCACTCAAGCCGACGACTGCACAGCGGAGGCTGAGGACGACATCCATTTTCAAAGCCAGAAGCGCCTCCGAAGAAGATTTATGTTGCTCCTTGAAGAGTCTCTCGCATATGGTGAACTTGCTTGCTTCCTGCTCTGCTAAGCAGTGCTATTAATAGTACGTGCCTGGCCAAGCGGCTTGCTTTGCTGGCGCAAGAGAAAACAGCCAGCGCCTTCCGAGTACAAACACACGATCAGCCAAATCGAAGGAGCCACGAAGAAAAACAAGATCTTGGCATGAAAGCTTCTTCTTTATTACGTCGAAGTAGTTCGAGCGTTACCGGGTTCCAATAAATAGTATAGAGAGTCTGGCGAACTACGGCGTCGCTCGAGAAATAATCATAGGCTACGGCGGAAGGTAGTGAGCGGCACCGGCGACGGCACCACAGGCACTACTGTAGTGCTCGTTTGTCCGGGGTGCAGTTCGATGTAGGAAGATGAACTAATGGCCGATCCCGTCCTTGTTGCTCGTGCTCCGCCGCTCTAACGGGGGTGTTCAGGTTACTGCTGATTACTTGCCTTTCTTTCATCGCTCGGGTGAGATGGACAGCATGATGAAGGCTGACATGTCGAAGGGCTGAGCTTGTCGCTTATCGAGCGGGTCAATACACCGCGCCTCGCGCGGAAAGCACAATCCACGAAGGATACGGGGTTCAGGCGTCTCGGGCGTCTCTATAATCACCACGGGCTGGGGTTTTGCCACTAGCGGGGTCGGGAAATGCAATTTCGTCCTCGTAGCGATGTTTAAGTCCTCGTCGTGAATGCCAAAGTCATTAAATCTGTTCGTGATATCCACGACACGTTGTTTTTTTTTCCTGAGCAGCATCTTTTCGCGCGAGTTGCGACGCAGTGGCAAGCTGTCGTCGTCTAGCACAGAAGAACGCGAGGGTGCGGAGGAGGGTCTAAGCGTCACCTCCGAGCTGAGACACTCACGGTTATTCACCTCCAACATGAACTGCAGAGCATGTCGATCATGCCGTTCTTTTTCGTCCGCCTCGTCACTGCTGCTGCTTGGGCTGTCCACGGCTGCCCTGGAGCGCTTAAACCGGTGAGCCGGACCCTCCACGAAAGGCGTCCAATCGTCCACGGCGACCCGCTGTGAGCATTCGCTATCGCTGTTTCGTGTGGAAGCCTCGGCGGCCAGCGCCACGAGGTCATCGCATGCGCGGGATCGTTTCATGGCATGTACTTGCCCCTGCTTCAGTAAATTCGTTGCCCCAATTTCGCTGTGAGCGGGCAGAGAAGAAAAGTGAAAATGAGCGAGTTTGGGCGCGTCCACCGCTTTATCCAGGAATCAAGAGGCAGAAGAAAGGCCAACGAGGAGAGAAGGGCCAATTGCGGCGCTCCCCGAACCGCGCGCGCAATTCAACCACCAAGTTGAACCAGCAGACATGAAACGGCCGCCGCGAGATTTGATATTATCGACAGTGTGGCAGACACCACGATTATGTTGCACTCAATGCAAAGCAAACCGACCTCCCGTAATTGATTCCCAAACGGCAAATCTTTGCAGTCCTGCTTCAAGCTGCGAGAAACACGCGCTTGCCTCGGTTTGCAACTTGCAGTCCCAATTACATGTTTGAGAGTCCCCTCGATTATGCGGGAGGCGGTCTCGGAAACTGGACTGTGCTGCTGCCAGCCTGCTGAAAGCGCCGAGCCACCCACCGATCGAGTTTGGCGCCGCCGCTGTTTGCAAAGAAGGTGGCAACTTTTCTTGCTACGGGCTTTCTTTTCTCGCCGTACGGCAAGTTCAAGCAGCGTGGGACGAGCGCGTCCGAGCCCCGATTTAGCAATTTGTAAATTCGTGGCCGTATATCGTCGCGAAGGGCGGCTAAATCGTCCGATCTTCCGAAACGCATGTTGAAGTTCCGGTGCTGTCAAAGTCGGGCTACGACAAAAACTAAGGCCATAGCTACAGTATTTGTTGTGGTTTTGCACCCAATACTCAATGAATCAACACTTTATTATTTGACGCATTATGCGCGCAACTTGAAAGTTTAGTCTAAACGCGCCTGCCGTTAAACAGCGGTGTCACTGAGACAGTGCCAGAGGCCTGCGCTCTGCAGCACCACGGCAAATTCGTCGGCGGCGTCCGCGTTGTCGATTGTTGGCTAAAAATCTGCGGTGACGACTTCACTGGCTGTGAACTTTGAAGGTGGTTGGTTCGGAGGATTCGTTCTCGATCGGCAGCACACTTTGCAGCACAACACCAGAAGCAAGTTGCTGTTCATCTGCAGCAAGCACATGTTTTTATTTGCCGTATTTTAATGCTCTCCAACCAGTGACGCGCTCACCACAGCAGAAGCGCAGTGCAGCACCACACCAAGTTGATGTCACCAACCCCGCTCGCTTCGTCAGCGATGATACGATGTACCCTATATCCGGCTGAGTGCGCACGACCACTTCAACGGCTCGCCCCCATAAAAGCTCACTGCTGCTGGTCGACTAGTAGACGAGCAATATCCTCAAAGCCATTGCGAGCCGCCACCTGAGCTGCTTTGGAACCCTCGCTGTCCTCCATCACCAGCAGGTTCTCGACCTCTGCTCCGCCCAGACTGCGTTTCAGCAGAAGCTGAGCGACCTCCACGCGCCCTCGACCAGCAGCCACATGCAATGCCGTCTCGCGCCGCTTGGTCAGCTGATTGGTGGCACTCGCGCCAGCGTCGAGCAGCGCTGTAAAAGAGCCCACATCGCCGCTGTAGGCTGCTCCGTGGACTGGCGCCCAACCACGATAGTCTTCGGCTAGAATGTCGGCGTGGTTCACCAGCAGCTCGCGCACCGTCGCCTCGGAACTCGCCAGCACGGCAAAGTGCAGAGGCCGCCGCTTAAACATGCGCTTCTCCACGGCGTCGACGTCCGCGCCGTACTGCAAAAGTAGACGCGCAGCCGCTGTCTCTCCGCGGTCGCAGGCCCAGTGGAGCGGTGTGAGTTCGTACTTGTCCAACGTCATGGCTTGTGAGGCATCAGCCAGCAAAATTTCGCGCAATTCTTCAACTCGGCCGGCGCGGGCTGCCGCGTGCACGGGTGTGGTGTCCAGCTCCTCGTGCAGCTCGTCCACGCCAACCTGGTGGGGCTCGTCCTCATGTTGTTGCCGCTCGTGGCTTGCCATTACTGTATTATTGAGCTTCGGGGTCTGTGGTGGCTACTATTCTCGAGTGAGTCGGACGTTACTGCCCTTGCTCTTAACTCTGTATCAAACTGTGCTTGGCAAGTGCGTCGAGGCCCTCGGGAACTGGTGCCCTCGATTGAAGCGGGCAGCACTTCAGTTCGGGCGTCTGTGACAGACTGTGTCAACATAGAGTGGTGATTGAAGTCCAATACAATACAAGGCTGTTTGAAGTGCAGCAACCACTGCTGGTTGCCAACCAGGCTTCACCACGCATAAGCGACCGACAGGGACCTGCCACTGACACTGTCAGTGACAGGGCTGCTTCGAGCACCGAGCAGCCTGCTCGAAGCCTTGCCGATTGGGTGACTCCAGTTGCGGATCAATTTGAGTCTGCGGCGAAAGCAAATACTGTACTACCGGTAGTACTGTACCATGTAAATACATGTACAGTACGCTGATACCTCGGCAAAACATGGGTACATTGTTCCGCCACACCGCCGACACCGCATCGGCATGTCGAGTCAGCTTGTCCCACGAAAAATAGTCCCAGAAATAGTCCCCTGACTGGGCAATAGAAATGTCGTCTCTCGGGCGACACAATAATTCGCCAATGGCATCGACCAAGGCATCGTGGCAGCACCACGTAGTTACGGCGGATGACCTGGCCAGCGGACCGCCGGGCAGGCACGAGCAATGGGTGCAATTAGCTGCACGAGTGTTCCCCGAGCTAGGCACCGTCTCAAAAGCGAAACGCGCTCGGAAAGTTGGGAACTTGCTGTTTAACGGGGAGCCGCGGGTACCGACTCTCACCAGCGCTGGTGTGAACGACACCTTGGCCTACTTTAGTCCCGACAAGCATAAGCAGTTGGTTGCTTCCAATCGCGCAAATGCAAACGACTGTGGGACACAGTCGTGGCTAAATAGTTGCATGACTCAAGGACTGCGTGTGGTCTACGAGTGCAGTATCTTGGCGCTGGTGGTCAAGCCTGTCGGAATCCACGTAAAAGGCCGGGGAAAGCGCACGGTAGAGCAGGCATTGCCATTGCTACTGCGGAAACAACATGTTGACGCGGGGGACTTTGAACTGCCTTTACCTCATGCAGTGCATCGCTTAGATTATCGTGTGGGTGGACTGTTACTTGTAGCGAAGACCAGGAAGATGGAAGTGAAGTTATCAGCTCAGTTTGAGAGGCATTCCGTCGCCAAGCAGTATCGCGCGATCTTGGTCGGAAATGTTTTTGATAAGCTCCCAGCAAGTGGTAGAAATAGCTCTGTGGATGGATCGATTGAGCTTCCCAGTGCACTCTTGGAGATCCGAGACGAACTGCAGTTCCTGGATGGTGAAATCGACAGCAAGCCGTGTCTAACTGCGATGAGAGTTGTGAGCACGACGCGAAGGTAAGCTCTATTTGTGATGATTAAACATCAATATGGGACGAATTGTTTATCGCTGTGTGATTTCAGTGCACGATACGAATGGATTTCCACCGTGGATCTGTGGCCACTCACAGGTCGTAAGCATCAACTTCGTATTCATACAGCACGACATGGGCATCCAATTGTTGGAGACGACTTGTATCATGACGCTATCCGCAGTGTTGGAATGGAGAAAGAGCCAGCAGTTGTGCGTGGCATGGGGTTGTTCTTGTACGCGGTTGGAATTGCATTTGAGGATTTCGTTGGCAATCGGCGCAATTTTCGCATTCAAGAACCAAACAAATTCGCTCGCTTTCGACATTTTTGCGAGTTGAATTGGACAAAACAAGCTCGAAAAAAAAACGCTGCAAACCACACCAGCACCGAATGAAAAAAAAGACGAAAAAAAATGAAGTTGTACTTGTAGCTCGTACTTGGGCTTAATAATTCATCAGTGTTTCGTATGGTACGATGGCAGACTGTTCTTCACGGTATCCCACATCGCGAGTGACAGCTAATTTACCCGTACGTCTAGTGTACACGCTCAAAATACGACAAATTGCTCATCGTGGTATATACAGCAGCCTCATCGCGGTAATGTGGCTGCTCAACGCGTAGGTCTACTGCTGCGGCACCACGTTCTGGAGCGCCACCAGCAACTGTGTGGCCGTTGGTCGACACCTCGGGTCCGGATGCAAGCAGCCTTGTAAGATCCACCGAGACAGATCAGATATTGGTCGCGCATATCGAAGGTCGCCCGTGTATTGAGCCATCATCGCTCTCACTTCTGCGTGTGTCGACTTGTCTGGGCAGATCGGGTGCTTTCCAGTTACCATCATGCAGTACACGATGCCAACCATCCACATATCAGCCTTCTCAGCCGTAGCTTCACAGTCACTGCGGTTGAGGCGGAAACACTCAGGAGGAAGATATCGCAAGGTGCCAACGGTCGAGTTGGAGGTGGCTGCCTTGGCGTCGCGAGTCAAGTCAAAATCGGTCAGCTTTACACACCCTCCCTGGTCGATCAGAATATTCGACGGCTTCAGATCGTAGTGAGCAATGTCCATCTACAAGAAGCGAAGGAAAAGGTCAGTGTCTAATTTGTAACACAAACTCAGCCCCAAGATCGACTCACGTCTTCGTGCAAGTACTTGAGCGCGCTCAGAAGCTGGGAGAGTACTTTGTATGCAGAGTCCTCATCAAAATGCTCGTACATCTGGAATACCAAAAAAGACGAAAGAGTTAAGTCTACACGAACTTAACAACAGTTTATTTGTGTCATTTCGTACCTCAATGAGTTGCTGAAGATCTGACTGGACGCTAGCAACAGTGAAAGCAGTGTACTGTTGTTGCTGGTATCGGATAAGGAAGGGTGCTTCGCCGACCTGAACAATGTTAGGGTGGTTGAGTTTCTATAAGGGCGACAAAAAGAAACGTTAGCTAGACCTCGACATCATCGTTTAAACAATGAAATCGTACCGAGTGTGTGTGGTGTTCGCGTTGAGCGTGCCGTATTGAAGTGGAGAGCTTGAGAGCACAGAGCTGTTTGTTGTTGGCGTAGTCGACGACATCCCAAACTTCTCCGTTGCCTCCTTTCCCTCGCAATCGAAGCAAAAGAAATCGGTTGCCAAGAATCGGAAATTGGGAGAACGGAGACACTTTCTCAAGACGCGAAAGCATCAACTCCTGTTTGTGTTTGGTTTCCTCGTGCTGTAGATTCAAATCATAAGCAACGTCAATAATAATGATCACAGATTTTCTACGCCTAGTAACGCAACTTACGTAAAATTGGCGGACTTCGGCCTCGAACTGATCACGTCGTACCTTGACCCACGTGGCATTCCCCTTGCCCATAGCGTCTCGGACAGCGTTGTCGTGGAACCTCTTCTCAGCGATGATGTTCTCCCTTCGTCCACCCGGAACGAAGAACACCCGGCTGCGATTCAAATCACACAAGAACTGTTGGAACCTTCTTCTAGTTTAGTTATCATTGACTCCATCTTCTGTGCACGTACGAATCTTTCACTTCCAGTTTTCCCCATTCCTCGAACTCCTGTCCTTGCTTGAGGTATCGCCGGAAAACCTGCTGATGAATTTTCCATCGAAGTTGCTGCACCACATTCACAAAACAGAATGTTGGTAACTTGATAGTCTAGGTACAACTTAAACCTTAAATCCTGCCCCACACCTCCATCTCGTCTTCTTCCACGTCAGTAGCCTGGTACCGGTACACGTCGCTCATCACTGTCATTTGCTGCTGCACGCTATTGGATCCTACTACGAACGTTGCGGTGGTTGCACTTTCCGGCTCAGCTTTAATGGTGTTTTCATCCACCGTACCGTCCTCCATTAGCACAGTCATTTGCTCCATCTGTGTCATCTCCGGTGTGGCGTTGAGTAAGCGACTCATGGGAATAGAAGCTGTTAGCTGCATTTTGGGCCCCTGGGGAGTACAGAAGACTTGTTTCGTCAAGCCACAGTTGACTTTTCCCACCTTGGAGAGCGGGAAGCGCTCGGAGATGGACGAGAAGCCGCCTCCAGTTGTGCCGTTGGGCTTAACTGCAGGCACAATGACTGTCTTGACTGTAGTCGAGTACCCAACGTCCACCATTGCGCCGTCGTAGAGCATAGCTTCCTCCTTGACCTCAGCTACACGAGCGACGGGCGCTACGGCCAATAGGTGCGGAGAGGGTGACGATCGCGTGAGTACCACATTGGGCTCGTCACAGAACATATCGTCGTCCGAGTCGTGCGCGACGCCGCTGTAGTTGCCGGCCACGAATTGGACCTTGTCACTGGTGCCGCTATTGGCGCTAAACCCTCCAAACATGCTACACCCACGCAGAGTCAATAAGAAAGCGAGAATTGGCGAGAGTTCCTGCGGGCTGTGGGCGAGTGTGCAAGTGACGCCGACGATCGTTTCTTCCGACCTGCTCGTCCCGTGGTGTCGAGACGCTGCGGAGGAAGATCTAGGAGCGCGTGCAATCTTCTTGCTGAGCTTCTCTACTTATAGTGCGGAACGGCGAATGGGAAGTGCAACGCGAAAAAGGGATCCACGTGGAATGACGCGGCAGAAGAAAGCCATTTCACTTAATGAAAACAGCATCAACGCAGTACGTCGCCCCTCCCATGATCGAGGAGTGATGGTCGTCTTTTTGAGCTGCGTCTTTGTAGAAGGGCGAGGCAACTTCAAGGCAGCGGCATACTGTAGCCAAGTGAGTTGTTTATCCGTGACCCCTCGTAACTGTGCGTGCGATGCTCATTGCCGAGGGCAGGCAACCGACGTCGACCAGTGGTTTCTCCCGTTTATTTGGGATATGGGGTTGCTCTGTCGCGCGACGCTGTCTGGCAGTGGGGCTGGTTGGTCACTTGAGATAGTGAGCTGCAGTGAAATGCGGAAGCATCACAAGGTTCTTAGAATAGATCACTAAGCTGCTGGGGACCGAGGTGTGGGATTGTGGTGTCGATTTTGCAGCGAGGAGGGGGGGGGGTCGATTTGAAGGCCTTCTTGTCGCGGTATGTCATCGATTTGATGCTGTAAATCAAAATGTACCGACGCTCAAAATCAGATTGCTTGGGTTGTTCATTGAAACGTCTACCGATAGTCGCATGGACCAGGGTATACAGGGCGACCACTCGAAGTAAGTCAAGCACTCGGCTGCCACGATCGCGTTTCTACTGCTGATGCAGATCACTTCATATCAACGAAGGTCATGCAGTACCAAGATACTACGAAGTATATTTACTACTAAAGTATTAAAAGTGCCTTACCCCATCCAGGTATTTTGGACCCAGGGCACGACTCGTACCGAACATTTTTTTTTTTGCTCGGAACAAGCTGTACCCTAATCTGTGCGTTTGTAAGACTTTTGTCCTACAAATGTCACTGGGGCCAAAAAGAGGCTTCCAGTAATTTGGGTCGCCAGTAGAAAGTAGTACTTTAGTATTACTAAGTCTTACTATTACTATAACTAGCCGAGCGCGGCGGTAATTTAGGCTTAGCTCTACTTGCTTTGGCCTTTCCGCCTTCGGCGGGATAACTATTGAAATAACGCTGAACATATGTGTATCTAAATCGAATCTTTTTAATTTCATTAATTTGGGTCAGCATGATGCTTACCGGATTTAGAAAATAATTATTCTAATGATCTTGAATCAAGATTCTTGATGCAATCTTGCTGGCTATTACTGTTTCTTCATCTTCCACCCAATAAAAACCACCTGCACTTCAAATAACATTTATACAAACGTTACACAATATGTTTAGTTTAGCGTCGTGCTCGATATCACGGACCATTTCTGAGCCGCTATGAAACTTAGCTCACATGATAGTAATGGTCTGTACAGCTTGCACTTCTAACCTGCTTGTACTGCCTATTTGAGCTTGTAAGTAGCTAAAAATTGTTCACTTTACACACAAAACTCAATGAAAGCTAGAAAATTTTCAAATTGTAATTTTTCTTGCATGCAGCGCTCATTTTGTGCATAATAATGAATTAGTCAATAGACACTCGATTCTGTACCAGTTATGATTAAAGCGTTTGGATAATGTGTCGCAAGACGCCTTGCTGTTGCTGTTGTTGACGGTACAGTAGTGCTTTCAATTTGATAGTTTAACGATAATTTCAGGATGGTTAAACGTCATTTAGGCTCCAAGTTTATTAACGCTTCTTTGTGGTGTCTACTTAGCCAACTATAATTAACACCTCTCGTGTTTTGTTGTTGTGTTGCCGCTCCATTTAAAATCGTATCATACGCCCCTGTCGGCGACACGTCCGCCAGTTAAGTAGTATCGGATTTTGCTGCCTAACAACTCGTAGAAAACAATGGCTTACAGCAGTCTCTTAGAAAACAATGGTTACAGCAGTAACACATATGAGTTCATTCTATTCAATCTAAAACAGTTTATCTTTATGGATCAGGTGATAACGTTTATTGGCACAGCGTCGTTTTTACGGCCAGCTTCTGTTGTACGTGTACTTCTATTGGGCACCTCAATCAGCTACCTCACACTCAGATATGTTCTTAATATTTCTACAAAAAACAGTTGTAGCTATTATTTTAGTCATTGTAACTTGCAGAAACTATTAAGAGCATAGTATTACGTATATTATTAGTGCGCGCGGAAATGATTGACGAAAACTCGATTTCGAGCCGATTTTTGTCAAATCAAAAGCAATGAATTTGGGCTTTATATCCAATCAGGAGAACACCATTACGGTTCTTTTAAGGTACTGTTTGTTGTAATCCGCAAAGTAACGGTTGAGGAACACTTCAAAATCTGCTGTTGTGTTGGAACCCCCTGCGCGAAAAGTATAGCCTAAGTGCTAAAATCTGCTTGTTGGGAGACAACGGTGCTGTTTACAAGGACCACCTGGCTTGTAGTGAACAAGTATGGCCTAACAGAAGTCGTTATGCATTTCTTGTGTCATAGTGTGCTGTATTGGGATGGGTAGAGGGGCATCGCTGTCGGACATGGAGAAGGGAAGTATTTTGGCCTACAAGGAGGCAAACATGTCCACTAACGCAATTGCTACGCGTGTGGGACGTTCCTGGAAGGCGGTGAACAACTTTCTAAAGGATTCAGAGGCGTATGGAACCAAGAAAAGCTCCGGTAGACCAAGGAAAATGACACAGACAGCGGAACGCCGCTTACTGCGTGAGGCCTCTAAGAGGGGGGGGGTAAGCGCTCGCACGTTGAAGGATTCGCTTCATCTGATATCCATCCGCAGGGTGCAGGAGGTGTTGCACAACTCACATGGTCAACCAGAAACGGTTGGCGTGCCCACCTCTCAAACCTCATCACATTGCTGACAGGTTGAAGTGGGCGGACCAGCACGTTGAACATGGGCACAATTGGGACTCTGTTGTGTTCTCTGACGAGAAAAAAATCAACCTAGATGGTCCAGACGGCTATCAATATTATTGGCGTGATCTACGGAAGGAGAGAGAGATTTATTCGAAGCGGCAGTCTGGCGGTGGTAGTGTGTTTGTTTGGGGAGCATTTAGTTCCAAAGGAGCGTCTGAATTGGCCTTCCTGGAAGGCAAACAAAATGCAAAGAAGTATATCGACACATTAGGCGACTATCTGTTCTCCTTTGCGCACCTCTATCACGGGCTAGACTTCGAGTTTCAGCATGACAATGCCTCCATTCATACGGCGCGAGTGGCGAAGTGGTACTTAAAGGACCAAGGGGCGCGTGTCATGTCGTGGCCAGCCAAGTCTCCTGACCTAAATCCAATCGAGAGCTTGTGGGGAATTCTTTTGAGAGCCGTGGACGTCAATGGCAAGCAGTACGACACGAAGGAGGAGCTCGTGGCGGCCATTAAGAAAGCCTGGGATGAAATTTCTCTGTTGAAGTTAAAACGTCTTGTAGCATCGATGAAAAAACGCTGCATGGAGGTGTACAAACTGGAAGGGCATAAGACGAAGTACTAAGCTGCCTAGTCAAGGTCGTCACGGTGTCTAGAAAACATAAAACAGAAGATAAGTGCTGATACATTTTGTTCGTCTATCATTTTCGCGCAGAGGGTTCCAACACAACAGCAGATTTTGAAGTGTTTCTCAGCCGTTACTTTGCGGATTACAACAAACAGTACCTTAAAAGAACCGTAATGGTATTCTCCTGATTGGATATAAAGCCCAAGTTCATTGCTTTTGATTTGACAAAAATCGGCTCGAATTCAAGTTCTCGTCTATCATTTCCGCGCGCACTAATAATATACGTAATACTATGCTCTTAATAGTTTCTGCAAGTTACAATGACTAAAATAATAGCTACAACTGTTTTTTATAGAAATATTAAGATCATATCTGAGTGTGAGGTAGCTGATTGAGCTGCCAAATAGTAGTACACGTACAACAGAAGCTGGCCGTAAAAACGACGCTGTGCCAATAAACGCTGTCACCTGATCCATAAAGATAAACAGTTTTAGATTAAATAGAATGAACTCATATGTGTTACTGCTGTAACCATTGTTTTCTAAGAGACTGCTGTAAGCCATTGTTTTCTACGAGTTGTTAGGCAGCAAAGTGTGGTCTCGAAAACACGCATTCCTTCGTGTACGATAACCCATTTGTAGCATAGGAAGTGTCTTTAGGGGCTATTTCATTTGAGAATAAGTAGCTCTCTCTGTTTAGCACTTAAATATTAAAAGCAACATGCATTATTAAAAAAGTAAATACTTCGTAATATAAAAACGATGCCGCCTTCGGATACCTTATCGGATATCGCTTACAGTAGTAATTGTCATCAGCACATTTAAGTTATTTTTGCTCAATCTAAACCTATCTATCTTTGTGGCTCAAGCTACAACTTTTATTAGCACAGCGTTGCTCATACGGCCAGCTTCTGCTGTACGTGTACTTCTGTTTGGCAGCTCAGTCGGTTACCTCACATGAAGAAATTTTCTTAATATTTCTACAACAAAACAGCTGTTGTTATTCTTTTAGTCATTGCCTCCTGCAGAAACTATTACGAACATAATATTTTGTGTATTACCCCTTTCGTTACCAAAATGTTACATGAGGTATTCTTTTACGTCGTCCATAATGAAATCAAGATACGTTATTGTCGTATTTGGACCCCACGTGAAACGTCGCCTGATGCTCTAATCAATCAAAGCGGGGGAGGCGAAAGCAAACCTCGCGCCACACTATACGTACGTGACTTTCAAAGCTTCGTCCTATTGTGTCTCTCCGGGTGCTACAGACACCTAACACTAAATACGATTGTTCTCCTTCCATGTCGTGTAACAAAAAACAAGATGGTTTCGGCCCCAGCAAAGCTGCCGTGGTCAACGTGACGAACGATTGCAGCTCTTATCGGT